ATGAAGTCTGCCACATTCTTCCTGAATTTATAATTGATTCAGATGAAAAGCTAAGTATTTTATCTTTGCTAATACCTTATTATATTAATCTGGAAGATTTGTTCAAGCTCTGATGCATCTCTGTGATTAAACTGCTTTAGGGGCGCCTGGCTGGCTCAGTGGGTAGAACATGTGACTCTTGATCTCGGGGTTTTAAGTTCAAGCCCCGTGTTGGATGTAGGGATGACTTTAAAAGTAAAATCTTTTAAAAAATACAAATAAACTGCTTTTCTTAGAACTTCACCCTTACAGAGTTCATAAAATAAGGTGTTCCGTTTGACAATATGAAGCCCCCTTTAAGAATTTAAAGGCTAGAAGAATTCATATTATATAGCATCACCCACTGGTAAAGAGTGGTATTGCAGGGCGCCTCAGCCACTATATATACATTCTCAAAAATTCTAATACTGATAAATGTGAATTGAGGCAAGACACACGGGAGAAATCTTAGGTGAATTTCTGGGGGAAAGCAATAAAAGATTGGAAACTTAAGAATTGTGAAAATAACACATAGTTCAGAGAATGGGCCAAAGAAGGCCAATTTAACACTTCTCCGGGCAAATCTCTTCAACTGAAAATATCAGTGGATTTTTCCCCCCCCAGGAAATTCTATTTCTTATTTTAAATGGAGTCAACAATAGGAAAATGGGATTTACATTTTCCTGGACGGCCAACATTATTGGAACACTGCTATGAAATACCGTGGACTGGCCCTCTGTGTCCTTTCAAAAATCTACTCCTGGGCAGCATTGATGGTATGGTGGTGAGCATACCTGCCTTCCAAAAATATTTCGCTCTTTAGCTTCCCAGGAATGATTATTTGGGTGATTAACAAGGCAGCATGAACAAGGCGGTAACACTGCCAGGAGTTTTAATCCATGGCATTTGAGAGCTCACTGGGGGAGTAAGGGCGAAAACCTTGCCAAGGTCTGGGCTGGAGAGGGATTTGTAAATGCACCGGAGGTCTCCCCAGCATCCATGTCTCCCCCTTTCCTCGCAGTAACTCAGCTAAGGGATATTTCCCTGCCCCCTTGCCTTTGGTTGAGGTCATGTGACTGAGATCTGGCGGTGGAATGGGGCTGAAAGTGACTGTGCGCCTCTTGTAGGTCTGTGCCATGCTCATCTCTAATCCACAATCCTCCGATCTTGCTTTCCATTCTCCATCAGCCTGGGAGGCTACCTGCTGAAGATGGCAGCATCTCAGGACGGAAGGAGTTGGATCCTCCAGCCAACATTTGTAAGAGAGCCACCTCACCTGCAATGGATTGTGAAATACATGAGAAATAAACCACTGCTGCGCTGTCTTTTAAAGTCTTGCAGTTATTTATCAGAGCCAGTGCTACTTGCTCTACCTACCACAGAAACTCTCTTGAAATGGGATTCCATGGTCATTAAAACATAAATATGTGGCATAGCTTAGCAACTGGGTAGCAGAGTGCGAAGAACCTGCAAGTAGAGGCTGAAAATATGAAAATCTTTATTATGCAGTGGCAACATATTTGGTAACCTGTGTCCGTGTTATCTAGGACAGCAGACCACATGCCTACTGACTCTCAGGGGATTTGTTGGAAAGAATCAAAGTGATAGCCTATGTTCCCTGCTATTGGCTGTATTTGGCAAAGCAATCTAAGAAAAAGATGAGCTCAGGAGAAAGGGATGGTTTGCAAAGAGAAATAGAAGGGAACAGAGAGAGTTCAGAAAATTTAAGCCTGATAGGGAGGAAAACACCAACGGCTTCTAGATCCCAAACAGCAGAAAAGGCCCATTAAGACCCAGCCTTGGTGAAAAGATCAGATTAAGGATATGACCGTCCTAGTCAAGTCTTGTAGCCTCAAGGTAGCAACCTGCCCCTTGAGAGACAGAAAGAGGCACAGGGGACAGAAACAAGGAAATAAAGCAGGTTTGGAAACGATGTCTAGAAAAAACTCTAGGTATGGTCACTAGCCCATGGAATCGACTAGAAGCAAATAGATGAGGCTTTGCTAAAATTTTTAGGGACTTGATCATACACAAACACACCCCCAAAACCCCAAAACCCACCGAACACATAAAAAACCCCACATGCCCAGACTTTTACCTTTTATCTCAACTATTGGAGCTGTAAAATAACCCTGCTCCAGAAGGAAGTGAGCTGTGGAGAACCGAGCAACTCCAGGGAAGACTCAGCCCCCAGCACCTACTTCAGATGTATACAAAGAGGGTGGCAGGCCAGGAAGGTTCTTCTAGAGAGCATAGCCTAGGGTATAATAAACAAGAGAGCTCCTCCAGAGAGTTGAACGAGGGCCTACGCAAAGACCTTCCCCCATCCCGGGGTTAGGGGTCTTTACAGCAACTGAGGGGGTCTCAAAATATCCACAGACCTAAAGCTACTCTGTCTCTCTCTCTCTTCCCTTTTCCAAATGGGCATTTTAATTGTGGCCATCTGATCCATGCTCCTCCATTTGAGATTGGAGCTACTTGAGCTGACAGAAAAGACAGAATCCCAGGGAGAGCCTAGACTGTGAACTCGATGCAACGTCCGGGTGGGACGTGGAGTTGAATACCCCCACCCCGGGGCCGGGGGTGGGGAGTAAATGTGCTTTATGTGTGAAGACAAAGAAGCAAACAGACATTTAGTGGCTGGGAGGATGGACTGTGCAGAGAATGCCAGCACCTACTGATCAGTGCTTCTGTTCTCCATCCGGGGCCCACAGCTCACTCTGTTTTCAAGCCCTCTCGCTGTTAGGTAGGATCGGCCAGTGGAATATGGGTCCAAGGGCTGTACACCAGCCCAACCCATAAAATCCTCCTATGCGTGGCCCTCCATCCTCTCTTCCCAAGATGGAAGGTCCCTGGGTCCCTGGGTCACCATCTGGAAGAGAACTGCCCAGCCCACCCGGGATTGTGATGTGAGTGAGAGATAAACTTTTGCTGTATTAAGATAGTGGGATGTAGGGTTTGTTGTCACAACAGTGAGTGTTACTTATACTGACTAGTGTCAGGCTAGGGAATGCCTATATTTAGAAAATATACTGAATAGGAGAAGCTATTAGAGAAAGAGAAGTCAAAGAAACTTAGAAGAAACAGAAGTATGTAGCATCAGAGAAACCAGGGGAGAAGAGAGCTTTAAGAAGGAACTGCAAACGGTGTTTGCGATGGTGAATTTTACGTGTCAACTTGGCTAGGCCGCGGTACTCAGGTGTTTAGTCAAATAGTATTGTAGATGCTTCTGGGAAGGTGTTTTTTCAGGTGAGGTTAACATTCAAGTCAGTGGACTTTGAGTCAAGCAGATTACCCTCCATCCTGTGGTGGGCCTTATCTAATCAGTTGAAGACCTTAATAGAAAAAAAAAAAAAAAGACTGACCTCCCCAGGGAAAGAGGGAATTCTGTCAGTAGACTGCCTTTGGACTTGAGCTGCAATATTAATTCTTCCCTGGGTCTCCTGCTTCCTGGCTATTTGTTCTGTTTCTTTGGAGAACCCTGACTAATACAGTGTTAAGTCTACAAAATGGTTGAAGAGGATACAAGTTTCAAAAAGGCTATTATTCTGGCAACTAAGAGGAAGGAAGCAATTTTAACAAACATTGGGGGTTGAAGTTACATCCGAAGAAGGAAAAGTGGAAGCAATGTCCTAATGCTGGTGAAGAACAGGATGGGAGAGCAGAGGATCAAAGGCACAGAGGGAGGGATTGAGCTTTAGGAGAAGGAGACGTTTTGTGTCTGAAGTAGAAAAGACAAAAGCAAGTCTGGGGAGCTCCCTGGAGGGTTCTGTTCTGAGCAAACCACAGCACTGCTCAAGAACTGACATGAGACTCTCTACCTTCATTAATACACAGAGGGTTCCACCATTAGTGATTCTGGTTTTTTTCCCCTCTAAATGACCTCCGCCCTATAGCAATTTCCTCTGGCTTCCAACAGAAGTATGGTTCACGTGTCACAGTCAAATGCACCCACCCCCAGCCCAAGTTATAAAGAATATTAAGCATTTCTCTCTATCCCACCCCACCGCACCCTGCCTGGGTCGTCTGTGCCTCTGTGCCCAAGTCCCAGCCTGAGCCCCATTCTGATAGCCCCTCATCATCTGGTCTCTTGGCGTGGGGCCGGGGTGGGAGAGCTAGGAGGTTGTTTCGGTTGACCCTGGCTCCGACCCTCCAGCTGTTGGTAGAAGATGCCTGAAACTGAAGCTGAAGACTTTCACCCAAGGGCTGGTTGTAATCTCTAGGAAATCCCTGTCTCCTCCCTTGATCTGTGATCTGTGATCATCCTTTATCCGCATCTTTCTGCCTTCCCTCTGAACTATCTCAGTGCTTCGACCCCTCCTGCCTGCCAACTCATCTCCAGCTCTTTCTTGCCACTCCACACTGCTGGGTCCCCTCTCCAACTGCATGCTTTCGGAACTGGAGCTCATCCTCTGAACCTCTTCAGGGCTGGGGTCCAGCCCTGCTCACTCAGGGCCCATGTGCAGCCAGACACAGGCCTATTTCATTTCTTTGCTGATGCATTTGCATATCATAGCAATACCAGAGGCTATATACATCCTCCAAATGCAAAGGGTCAGGGAGAGGGGTGGGGGCCCTCCCTCACATCAGGGTTAGGCCCTTTTTGTCACTAAACATCTTGGATCAAGCCAGCTAAGGAAAGCATGGAGAAAACTAAAGGTCATTTGCCTGTTCTTTCTGTCAATAAGTATTCGAGTGTCTACTATGAGAGGCAGTGTGGTATAACGGAGCTATGCACACAGGCGCCAGATTTAGCCTGCAGGGTTCAAGTCCCAAGATCTCCACTTCCTAGCTACGTGACAATAAGCACATGATTAATCTCTCCTTCCCTCCGTCTCCTCCACTAAAAAATGAAGACAATAGTAGTGTTTGTCTCCTAAGGCCGCTGGGAAGATGAAATACACGAACACACAGGAAACCTAGGTAAGGATTCCTTTGATGTGACTATCCCCCTGGTATTTAGCAAGCAGCAATCCTGGTCCATGCCGCTATCCCGGGAGGCTGAGGTGGACTCGGAATCCAGATGCAAGGAGTACTTCGTGACCTACTACGAGGTGGGCCACAGCCTCTCTGAACCTCAGGCTCCACCTCTGTAAAATGGGCACCATGGTTCCTGGCTCCTGCTCTAGAGGCTGTGGTGAGAGAATGGAGAGAATGTGCTTTACAAACTGAAACTTGCCACCCCCCCAACCCCCCCCCCACTTCGTGGTCCCTTCTCGGCTCCTGGCTTAGAAGAAAGTGTCTCTGCTTTGGCCCTGCCCGCTTTACTCTTAGGACCAAACTGGGGTGGGCATGGAAGTGTGGGGATGTGGGGAAAGGCCAGGCTGGGTTGCCCCCCGGGGATGCAGTCCCCTCTCTCCCTACACTACCCTGGTATAGTGTTCATCACACCTCCGCACCATTACTAGTTTCATTGTTGGCTTTCTTCACCAGGTGCAACCTCATGGAGTATTCCTCACCCTCCCAGAGCTGGGCACAGAGGCTGGTACATGGAAGGTGGGCAGGAAATGTTCCATTAATGAAGAATGACATGTGAGGACCCCGGAGGAGGGCCTCTGACAAGAGTCACAACTCCTGGCTTGAGGTCAGTTTCCCGCCGATGTCATTGTACAAAATCACAGAATTTGGGAGCGCCTGGGGCCCAACGCCCTCCTGCAGGAAACCGAGGTTTGGAGACATGAAGCGGCCGCCCCAAGTCACCCACCCGGCGCGGCAGAGCTAGGGTGACCAACCTCGCTGGCCTTCCCGAGACTGAGGGGCTGGCGGGGACGCGGAATTTCAGGGCCGAGACGGGGCCAGTCCCCGGCAGCCCGGGGCTGGAAGTCGGGGATCCTGCCTTCCCCCCAGTCCCCTCTACTCCTGAGACGGGTGAGGAGTCCGACCGGGGCTGAGACCCGCTTCCCCGCCGGCCCAGCCCAGCCACGAGGCGGCCCCCCGTGCGGGCGGCGGCTCGGGGTGGGGGGTCCCCCGCGCTCTTCCCCCGGGGGGCGCCGCGGCCGCAGGGCGGGCAGGGGGAGCCGGCGGGCCCGGGGTCGGGGACCCGCGGCGGCACAAAGAGGCCCGGCCGCGGCAGTTTTTTGAAACTACCGAGCTAGTGGATCTGGGCCGGGGCCCAGGGAGTGACGAGGAGGGAGGCAGCGCGCGCCAGCGAGCGAGGGGGAGGCGGGAGGAGGGGGAGCGCGGGGCGCGGGGCTGGCCGCAGACCTCGCCGGCCTCCAGCGGGAAGCGCGCGGGTGGCGGTGGCGGGGCGGCGGCGGCGGGATGGGCGGCCCGGCGCCCCCCGGCTGCGACCCCGCGGACCCTCCCCTCGGCGCGCCGCCTACTCAGCCGGGCGCTAGAGCGGGCGGCGCGTAGGGCGGCGAGCGGGCTCCCGCCGAGGAGCCGCCGGTTCCCCCCCACACCCCCCCAACTCCGGCCACACGGCAGCTCGAGCCGCCGCCCCGGGGCGCTCCCGAGGCCCCGCAGGAGGGACCATGAAAGGTAAGCCCCGCGCGCGCGAGGCCCGAGGCTACCCCCCACGGGCTCCCCGCGCCCACCCCCGACCCCGCCCGGGGCGCGGCGGGCGCCTCTCCTGCCGGCGGGGCTGCGGAGGGGACGTCTCCCCGGGAGCGAGCTCCGGGCTCTCCGGGGGCCCCTCCGATCGTCCTGCGGAAGACATTGGTCGGCAGGACCGAGGGAGCCCTGAAGTCTAGAGGAGGGGGAGAGGAGAAGGGGGGGGAGAGTTTACACACAGTCCCCTTCACAGTCCCTCTTCTCACTCTGCGTTGCTCTATCCCTAAAAACAGTTGTAAATTCCAGAGAAGTTCCTGATCCCTTTAACCGGTCATCGCAAAAAGATGCCACCAGCCCAACCTTCCGGCCGCGTTAAATCCCCATCCAGGGGACCCATCTCAGAGGCTCCTGCAGCCCCTACCTAGCCTTCTGCTGGGCGCCAGGCCTAGGATTCTCCTCCAGGAACTTCAACCCCTTCCTCAGGAGAGACCTGTTCGGTCCAAGTCCCTCAGCCCAGACCCTGCCCTTCCTGCCTCTGAACCCTGGTTGACCCACCCTCTGACCTCCCAGGGATACAGCGGCTGGGGAAGGCGTGTGGTCCAGGCCAGAGCTCTCCCCAGGGCACTGGGTCCTCATCCCCACCGTAGCCCTTGCAGCCAGGTCCTGGGATGGACACAAGAATGGGACTTGGTCCCAGGTGCTCGTACCTGGGCCTGGCTTTCTTCAGGCCTGGGAAAGAGCACACTTTGTCTTAACACTCATTTTCAGGCGGGGGGAGCAGCAGACATTGGAATCATCCTATGGGACAGGGAACCTTTTCAGTTTTGAATGCAGTCAGTAATCCTTCCCTAGCACCTCGGGCAGGTGCTGGGCTCCTGGCCGTGAGAACTTCCCCACTTCTTTGACTTCCTGAATGTGGGGACTGAAAAAGACCTTCGTGATCATCTAAAGGGCTTTAAACTCTACTCTCGGGTGTTGCTGAAGAAGGAGCTCCGTTTGTGTCTTTCACATAGAAGGGGCTGAGGGTTCCTGTGAAGAAAGGGCTCACAGACAAACCTCTGACTGAATACAGCCGCCATGTTGTATAGTTGAAGAAACTGAGGCCCAAACAGGCAGAAGCGGCTTCCTGGGTGTGCAAACCTGTGCCTCCCTACAGGTCCCCGCACTCGGAAGCCCTCATACATACTAGGTTTAACGTCTTGAAATTCTTAATAACTCTTAAACAGGGTCCCCTCACGCTTTCATTTTGCACTGGGCTCTACAAATTATGTTGCTGATCCTGTGGATAGGAGAAGGAACTTGCTATTCAGGGGACCAGAGTGCAGGGGCCTGACTTCCAGGCCAGAGGACTGGCTAACATGCTCCTGCCTGTCTGTCGCTTCCTTCCCTCTGGCCCCTCTGTCTGTGCTTCCCGATGGCCTCACTGTGTCCTGGGCTGTCTGGGATGAGGCAAGCGAGTTATAATCAACCCCAGGGAGTTCCCTTGGCTGCAGAGAGGAGCCTCACCCACGAAGTTCCTGCTCTCAGCTACCACATCTATGGAGCTGTACCCACCCCCGTTAGCCGGCCTGGGGTAGGTCAGTACCCAGAAGCCTCTGGAAGGGTCTTAGACCACATCTCACCACAGGCTTGGGGCCCACACTGCTCTGGACCTTAATGACGATGGTAAGATGCTACACATACTCGGAGGGTTTGGCTCCACCAACATCCCCGACAAACACTGTAAGAGAAAATCTGGTGAGGGCAAGACAGGACAGAAGTCCTCTGAAATGGAGGAGACATCCTGCTCCCATAGAGGAGGGAGTTAGGAGCACATGACCTGCCTTCCTGAAACTCAGTGAGGCAATTCCACTCCTCTGAGTGGAAGAGAAACAAGCTGATGTGGATGAGTGTTTGGAGGAGGACGGGCTGTACCATGTTAGCAGGTCTCCGGGTCCTCCTGGCGTGCTGGCTGGAAGTCTGTGGGCTCCCTCCTTGGGTCTGCAAGGTCTGCGCCTCTCACCTCCTTTTCCCCGTTCTCAACCAACAACCTCATCAACCAAATTCCTGTTCACTGAGGCCTTTGGGGACAGCTCCCATGTGTTTTTCGTCCAGTCTCTGGGAAACCTTCCATGATCTCCCATAACATCCCAGGGGCACGGGCTGCAGGGCTGCAGGGGAAGACAAGGGTTGATTTCCAGAACACCTCCCTCCAGGGTCTTCCTTCATCCTCCCCAGGAGCCAGGAAGAGCTGCCGCCTCTACCTGAGATGGAAAAAGCAGGGCAGACAGCAAATATTTGGCCTTTGGATCTGTGGAGTGTGAAAAATTAGGACTTTTTTTCACCCACATGGAAAAAGGAAAGTGCCCAGCAAAGCAGGACGGCCCTTCCAGACTGGCCCTTCCCCAAGGGGAACTGGCTCCCAACCCTCCTCCAAAGGCCCCACCAATCTGAGAATTACATCTGTTGGCAAAGAGTCACCTCCCCCCTCAAAGCAAAACACGGTGATGTTATGCTTTTTGGGGGAGAGGGGCGTTGGTGGGGACGGTACTTAAACAAGAAAATGCATTTGCTGAGGAGCAAGGCCACGGGTGGCCAGGCGCCAGGGCCTACTCTGCCAGCCAAGCTGTTTCCACCCCGGGGCCCCTCCTGCCTGCCTGCCTGCCTGCCTGCCTCTGGCCAGGTCTCCCAGGCAGCCACATCTTTCGATACCAGCTAGTACCTGGCCCCAGGTGTTAGCCCTTCTCACACCCGAGGGGCATATAGCAGCCACCAGGCCCTTGGTGACAGGCCCATCTTGGAGCTTCCCACTGGCTTGTCTGAGCCAATAACAGCCACCTGTGGGATGGTTTACACACCTGTGGTGAGAGGGTCCTGTGGGCGGGGGCCCTTCCAGCTCTAAGAGCACCCCCCCCCCCACCGCTGCCGCCTTTAGAAGCAGCCTGGTCCACTGTGATTTGAGAGTCAAAGACATGGGCTCTATTCCTGGCCCCACGTGAGGCTCTGGTCAAAGTGTTTCCCTTGTTCTCCTCCTGGGTGGTCCCTGAGGCCCATCCTGCCCTGACGCAATGTGACTCAGCCCAGGAACTCTGAGCCCGAGTGCCACTCGGGGAGCGGAAGTGACTCGGTGGAGAAGTGGCTGGAAGCAGTCCCACCGCAGGGCGACTCTGTGCCCCTGGGAGACTTGTCCTCAGCCGCTATATACAGGGCAGAGGCACACCCCGCTGTTCCCCAAGCATGGGAGGAACAGCCCCTCCCTACAGAATCAGAGACCAGTGCCCACACTCCATGGACAAAGGGTGGCCAGGGCTGCAGAGCACGGCAGTGTGATTGATCCCAGGAGAAGCTGTCACCCACAGCGAGGCAGAGGAGATTGTATCCGCTCATGAGTAGGTAGACTGGGTCCCCCTTGAAAGCCTGACCCCCATCCCCAGACTGCGGGCGCTGGAAAGAGGCTGAGTGTGGAAGAAAAGGAGCTGATGTGTAAAGAGCAGGGGGTAAAGAGCCACTAAACAGCTCAATTCGGGGGGACCCGAGGGCTCAGATGATGGAGATTAGCTCCAAACCTTTAGAGACACACAAACACACACACACACACACAGAGCTCACCTTGCCATCCAGCTGGGGTAATTTTGATAATGGAAGACTCACATCCCAAAGCTAGTTTGAGAGAAAAAAGAATTCTGCTTCTCAGTAGATGTTTGCTGGAACAGCTTAGCAGTCTTGGTGAAGGACAGGCAGCTGCGCTGGGTGTGAGGCTTGCGAGTACAGCCGCAGGACGGACCATGCCCCTCATCACTCATATATACGCTGCCTGTGTTTGATTGTGTTTCTGTTAGCATGTGTGCACGCGCGCGTGTGTGTGTGTGTGCTGTGAGCACTGGAGCCCAAGGTTAGAGCTAGCCCGCTCACCCACCAGCTTTATAAGCTAGTAGCTATGACGAAGTCATTGGTACTCTCTGGCCCTCCTCATCTCCAAGTAGACTGGATCATCTTTAATGTTCTTTCCAGCTCTAACATTCTACTCTATTGTTTCTCCTTCTGAGAGCGTGTGTTTATTTATTTATTTAATTTGAGTAGCGTTGACACACAATGTTACCTTAGTTTCAGGGGTACAACAGAGCTGGGCTCACCACGTGTCGCCCCCATCTGTCACTACACAACACTGTTACAATGTCATTGACTCTGTTCCTTATGCTGTGCCTTTTATGCTCATGACTTATTCATTCCATAACTGAAAGCCTGTATCTCCTACACCCCTTCGCCCATTTTGCCCACCCCCCTCACCTACCTCCCTTCTGGCAACCATCTGTTTGTTCTCTGTATTTATAGATTTGATTCTGTTCTTTGTTTATTCATTTGGGGTTTTTTTTTCGGTTTCCACATGTAAGTAAAATCATATGGTATTTGTCTTTCTCAGTCTGACTTACTTCACTTAGCATAATACCCTCTAGGTCCATCCATGTTGTTGCAAGTGGCAGGGTCTCATCCTTTTTCATGGTCGTGTAATATTCCACTGTATACACAGGGTGTGTGTGTGTGTGTGTGTGTGTGTATGTGTGTATACATATCCATCTATTAATCTGTATCTATTTTTTTCTCAGAATAAGACTGTGGTGCCCACAAGGTAGTGTTAGAATGTGAGGTGCGTGAATATGGTGACCCAGGCTGCCTTTTTCTTGCCTCACTCTCTCCCAGGGCCTGGCACTTAGGAGGTACCCATTACATCTGCCAGCGGGTAAATCTGAGTCCCCCACTGGGCTGAAATCCTGAAAGGCAAAAGGAACACCATGGATGGGATCCCCAGAACCTAACGTAGGCCTCCAATAAAGACTCGTGCTTCTATTTCACATTTACTGACCATCTGCCAAATGTCAGAGCTTGTATGTCTATTTATGCCTAAGGGCCAAGAAAGATGCAAAGAGCTCAACATCCTTTGTCTCAAAGAGCTTACGCTTTGCCAGGATTGGTGGTTCTTTTCCTGTCTCCCTCCTTTGCTGCTTCTCTTC